GCGCCAACTGCATTTCTGATTAAATATTAAAAAAAAAACGCTCCAGATTGCTATTGGTATCTTAAAAACTAGTAACGAAATATATAAAACATTTTTTTAAATATCATTTAACGAGAGCAAGTTTAAAAAATTCCCTCTCTCTCTCTCTCTCTCTCTCTCTCTCTCTCTCTCTCTCTCTATTATAATAATAATAATTATTATTATTATAACTTTAATAAATCGGTCAACTAAAACCGAGAAAAAATGAAAAAACAGTATCGTTTTTACTTAAAGCAGGAGTACCTGTTTTGTGACACATTGTTAAAAAAAATTAATCTTTGATCTGGATCGAGGCGGATGATGTTTTTCAAAATTCGACCGCTACTCGGTTCTGAGGTTCGTCGCCTACCCGTCCATCGAAGTCCCCAAGGTTTTTCGAGTTTTGCGTCGCTGTTTGACAGTTTTCGAAAACGAAAGAGAAACTTTCAGCTATCTCGACGTTTGTGAACTGTGTGATTTTTAATATAACCAGATAGATAACCTTTTTTCGTAAATTTCAACCGACCAAAAAAAATGTTTTTTAATAAAGGACGCCGGCCATATCTCGAACCGTTAGTCCTACAACTTTTTTTTCTATCTCGTCAAATTAAGGGTGGGAGAAGGGTGAAATATTGGGTTAGATTGAATAGTTAGTTTGGTTTTAAAAACTATATATAGGAGGTTCGACTAGCATGTCGATATGACGACATTAATTCTTTTACGAGTCGGTAGAAGACGCGTCATGTCAAAAACAGCTATTTTTATGATCTCGAAAATTTCAAATATAATGGTATAAGTATTTTTAGCTAGGTTGAAAGAGAATAAAAATATACAGGAACAGATAAATAATGGCTCGATAGTACTTTTATTTTATTTTATATATAAAACAAAGCCTCAATACCTTAATAAATTGATGTCTGGGCTGGGTAATAATTGCTCTGTGCATGTATGTATGAACTCTATAAACTTATTTCAATTCACACATAACCTAACACTAAAGAAAATCTAACAATAAAGAAAACCTAACACTGATTAACTGACACTAAACAAAATCCAACTACACAATAACAAAATCATTAATGGCGCCCCAAATATTCAAAATGGCTTCCATCCTGCAGCCGTCTCTGTGAATAAAGAGCAGCAGACTCTACTTCAACATTGTTGCATAGACGATATCTTTAATTCTGTCCCACAAATAAAAATCTGCGCACGTTAGATCAGGCGATCTATAATAATTAAATTGAGAAAATCAAATTTAACTCTGGTAGAAAATATAAACATTCCAGGTCATATCTGTCGTCTCTGGTACTACTACTACTGCGATCGAAAAGTATATTTAATAAAACATTTTTATTTATATCTCAAAGGAGAAAAGAGATATTGCCATGCTGTTTCCACCACTTTTTGGCTTTTTGTTATGCTCTTCCATCTTAGCTAAAAATATTTATACCATTATATTTAAAATTTTCGAGAAAATCATAAAAATAGCTGCTTTTCACATGAAGTGCCTCCTACCGATTCGTAAAAAAATTAATATCGTCAAAGCCCCTATAAATACTGTTTAAAACTAAACTAAGTTCATCGAAATCGGAGTAGCCAACTTTCAACTATTTCTAAACCAACATTTGACCCTTCCTCCACCCTTAATTTGACGAAATAACAAAAATAGTTAAAGCAAGACAGTTTCCTGATCTAGAGTAAATTACGTTAAAACTAATTTTGATATAGGTTAATTTGGAATATTTTTGAGAAAACGCGTTTTTTCTATTTCACAGTAGATGTTGCGCCCCCTAGAGTCCATTTTAATTGGATTTAATTGGATTTTAAACACGCCATAACCTTATTAATTCACAGACCACCGAATAAACAAGCTTTAGAGCAAAACCAGACTAAAAATGGCAGCTTCAATATATTACCTGACAGGCAAATATAAACAAAATAAAAGTTTTATTAAAACATCAAATGGTGCCAAAAACCATAATTTCGCGTCTCCTGGGGGAAAGGCGAAGAGCTGGAAGACCCTAACACGAATCAAGTCATAAATTAAATACTATTAAGCCGAGGTACGAAATTTTCGTTTTCTTTTTTCAATAAAGTAAAAATAACGCACAAGCAGGAAAGTCGTGTGTATCGTAAAACTTACATTTGCGGTGCCGTGAAAATCCGCTAAAATCCACAACCAGCGTAAAACCATAAGGCACGGGATCCGGGGCGGTGAAAAAAATACCGTATTTGCATTATTCAGATACGAGCCGGACCGCTAGTCGCGACCCGAACGAACAACAATATAAAAATAAATCTTCGATGCTTTCGATTTTCTCGGAAATCGCTTAACGCGGCAAGAACATCGCTTCCTTCTTTGATTCTTTTTAGTTCTAAATAAAACCGCGATTTTTTAGATATTTTTGTATTCGCAGCTCGTTGCACTATTGCCACTATATTTTTTCCCTCTCGGTTACACATTTTTCCACGCCTAATAGGTTAAGACTCACAAATAATACGCATTCCAGTATTAACAAAAACACTAAATGATTTCCTGGTCGGGACCTGTTACACTATTGATGAATTTGGACAAGTTGATAGTTTGTTATGTGTGTGTGTGCTCGACAACTTTGAGTGCAATCTAATTGACCCCATAATAATATTCCCAAACGTACCAACCACGGAAAAAAGATGTCGACAGTTTTTTGCAAAGCAACTCTGTAGGCCTGCAATATTTGGCGTTATTTTAACATTTTCGGGAAACGTTTTATTTTTGTTATTAGGTTAGGGTTGTCAGCGTACTTGATAATGACTAACTATTCAGTTAAAATCAGAGATTGGAAGTCATTTAAATAAATTCTAAAAAGCAAGGTCCGAAGAATGCTACCTTGCGGCATACTGAGTCCAATAGGGAGTTTTTCAAAAAAAAAGTTGGTTGTTGATTTTTAATAGCAACTACTTGAGTTCTGTGTTCCAAATAATAAGCTTTCAGTCGCAGCAATGGTGGTCCTATCAGTCCATACTTGTCGAGTTTATTTAGAAGATCGACATGTTCTAAACAGTAACGAAGCAGTAATATTCCTAATTGTTTTGTTGTGATGTGATGTGATAAACAGTGATTTTCCTTGTTTCAAATTCAGTGACGGATGATATGTAATCTATTAATTTTCAGAGAAATGGAGAAATTTTTAACAGCTTTACCAGAGTTTGGTTAGTTTGTTGCTGCCCGTACTTCTTCCTTAACTTCTTTTCATAAATGTTACAGAAGCGTCCACTTAGAATATTTTGAATGGCACACCGGTACGTTGTACGAGCCTGTATGAGGCTTATTTTTATTCTTTATTGGTATTCTGTGTCTGTTTCTGAGTTTTGACACAGTTAGACAAAAAATGGAAGATTGTAATGGATTGCGAAATAAAGTAAACATATAAGCACAATGGTTCAGAAACAACCAATTGTCATTAGATGTGTTTAAATATAAAGTTTTCACTTTTAGGAGGAAAAGGAATAATATTGCTTATAATTACTTCATTGATGACATTTTGTTAAACATGGTTTGCATACACCATGGATCTGTTTTTAATCCAAAAGTAAGCTTTGCTAATTATACAAACTTGACAGTTTCTTTAGTTGCGAAAAAGGTGGGGCTTATTAGTAGGAATTCAAGGTCGTTAATATCAACTGAAGCGTTAAAATTACTTTATTTTGCTCTGGAAACTCGTCGTTTCAAGATGTTCACAGGCGTTTCTTAAAGTTACTCTCATATTTAAATTAATTAATTAATTAATGGAAAAAATGTCTTTATAAATTACCTAATTGGAGTTTCGCAATACAAATTACACTTTAAAATCCCACATTCAAATACAAGTGGGACAGAAACTTTTTACTCTACAAAATCCTTTTCCGACGTGGGTCTAAACAGTATTTTGAATAAAGTTGCTCCTTATAATAATAATATTAATCAAAATAAAAATAATAATAATAATAATAATAATAATAATAATAATAATAAATTCCCTTTATTGTTTAATATATCATCAAAAAGAGTATATTACAATAAATTTATCACGATAACTCGCGCGCAGTCTAGCTTAAAAGCTACTTTACTGAACCAGACAAATGTGACATAATTTTTTAATATATGTGTCTGAGACTTAAACAGTGTTTGGGCAATGAATTGTAACAATTTACTGCGTGATTCGAAAAAGAACGACGAACTTTAATAGTACTTCTAATATTTAAATTATGTACGTTATAACGAAATGTTAATAATAGAGGTGGGATCAAGGAACAAAAATAACTAAAATGTAGATTTCTACGGTCATCCATTCTCAGCCAATTTAAATCAATTTATGTTTATATATATTAAAAATATTAATGCTGCACAACAACTGTAAGAATGTGCCATTTAAGTAGATTTAGAATTTTTCTACAAATTAAAATGACTTGGTTTTTGTACTTTGTACAATAATTTATACATTTATATTTTCATTGTATTTAATTTGATTGAATAGAATGAATAGAATAATCCTCCGTGAATTTTGTCCCGGACCTCTATAAAGCTGCTCATTACTATCGCTCAGCGTCTTACAAGTTGCGTAACCGCGCCCTTGACGCTCCTCATTACGCAATCGTTTAATCGTTCCTCCGCAAAAAAAAGAAAGTACAAGCCGAAGAATACGAAGACGAAGAAGAAGAAGAAGAAGAAGAAGCGTAGATATGGCGAAGAAGCGGACGACAGTCGGAGCGGGCACCCCGGTAGCAGCGTCCAGGTACAACGCACATACATAATACACACAATCGATCGTTTCGCAACCTCCACCTGCCGGTACTACCACCGCGTATCGAAACGCGCCCCCCACCACCGCGACGTCCGATCTTCCGCGTCGCCCGAAGAATACACACACACACATACAACCTAGCGAGAAGATTCAAAGGAAAAGAAGCAGTACCGAACCGGCTGATGGCATTCCCGTCGTGGCGGCAATCGCGTTCAGACACCCAGGTACTCCAAACGGTCCAAGTGCACACAGTACTACCCGAGTCCGGCCAAGGCCAAGGGCAGTGTTGCAGATTATTTTAAGTGTCAGTGTCGAAACGTCAGCTTTTCGCTGACCTCGCGCGGAGTACTGCGACGATTTTCACCACCGGTGGTACCACTTCGTCAATCGAGACCGACCCCCAACGCTGCCAACCCTCGGGATTTGCAAGGTACCGCTTATGATTTAGTGCCGCTTTTTTCGACCTTAGAGTTGCGGAACAACCGCCAAGGTCGGTGGTGTCGGGCGTTCCGGCTTGAAACGGGCATCGAGATGATTATTATGCGGTGAAATTTCATTTAACGGCTTCCGTGAAGATGAGATGTATCAGGAAATAATTATTAGCATAATTTTCCGCTAAACTATATGGCATTATCGAGTATTGATTTTTTTTTTCATTCGGTAAACCGCAATTTTTTTATACTATAACATATTTGCTCAAATAAAAAAAAATAAAAGAAAAAAGGGGAATTAACAAAAAAAATCGTTTCAAATATTATTGCATTCAATTCTTGTTAGGACCAAAAATATAACACGAAACTTTTAACAATGACTGATATCGTCAGTGGATGTCAAAATATCAGTTAAATGAAAAACATTGAAAGGGGTCGATTAAATTTTAAAAGACCAAGCTTGAACAGACAAACCCTACATCTTGGAAACTCAAAATCTTCTTCTAAAGAAAACAAGATATAGTCATAATTATGCTATTCCTAATATATGGAGAAATATCAAACTAATATTTAAAGCATTTTAGATTTTCTAATATATCCACTATATCATTTTTTTAATTTAAATATTCTCTGATAAGAATACTAAATAAAAAGCTGGAAATTATGACCATTACAGAATTTTTTTAATACAAAAACGCAGGATTATAAGCATCTTGTGAGCATAATTCAAAAAGTTTCGCTATTTTTTTTTTTTTTATTTAAAAAAACACTCTTTTTTGCATTTCAACCTAAGCGTGGTTAACAAACATCTAGTCGCTGAAAATAAAATTTAATAGTGATTTTAAACTCAGTACACATTTTTGTATATTTCATTATGCTTTAAGCCCAATTTTCCAATTGTCCAAAAATTGAGTCCAAAATTCACAAAATTTCGATTATTATTTCAATAAGTTTTTCGCTCCTGTGGATTTTATGCCTACTAAACAAAAACTATGTTCAAGCAAATGGTGTGCTGAAAAAGCTGGAAAAGCAACGTTTTTTTTTATCAATTTTGGATTTAGTTGTTTTTCCCCTATACCTTTCAATTACAAGGTTTCATTTACCAATAAATCATATATATATATATATATATATATATATATATATATATATATATATATATATATATATATATATATATATATATATATATATATATATATATATATTTTAACTAGCTATAGAAGATTATTTTAAGCACAGGTCAACAAACACACTACTCACAAAACATATTCCGTGTCAATTTCATTAAGTATATGAAATAAATTCAAGTTTGTCCAAGCTTATTTATGATGTATTTTTCGTTTCTTGGGCGTGTGTATCTTGCACGAAATTCAGATGAATTTATCAGCGACCATCTGCCGCTAAAGTAATTATTAAATTTCGGGAAAATTACCGGCGTCACCGACTTATAATAAATTCCAAATTTTGGCAGAAGAACGCCGAAGAAAAGTTCATCAAACTGCTAAATAATATTTGCGTAAAACCAGCTTTACCGTTCTCCTAATATTTGAATCACCGCATATTTGCATAATTTTACATACCACTGTTAGGTCGACTAATTAACGTCGATGAACCATTTGACAGTGGGAAAAATTATTTTAGATTTATTAATGTACTTTATTATTATTATTATTATTAATATTCTAGAGAAGAAAATTAAAAAATAGAAATGAATGTTCCTGCCTGCCAGTCCCGTTTCGTCAGTGTTGTTAAATTTCGCGTAAAACTGAGCTTTTACGATATTTTTCATATTTCATAAATGGATCTATCAAATTTCGTCACGTTGAAAACTTTTCATATGTAATTTTACGAAGCATCTGTTCCTAAAACGTTGCGGATGTCGGTTACCGAGTGTAGATAGATAAGATAAGATATTGGTAAATATTTGTCGCGTTAGTTAAGCGATAAAAAGCTCTGGTCGATAGTTGGAATTATTAAAAACGTAAGTCACCTGTCCAAGTTTTCCTTGTTGAGATATTTTGAACAGAGAACCTATTATTTAAAATTATTATTTTCATTTAGAAATAATAATTTTGGTGAGACTAACATCATTCTATGTTTCTTGTTTATCAAAAAAGTTAAAAAAAATCATTCCTCCCTGCATCGATTGCTAATGCAAAAACTCCAATCTTCACAATAATTCTACTAGATCAGTTAATTACTTTATCTTAGATCACCATAATCTAGGCAAAAAAATGTTAATTATGAAATAAATATGTTAGCTGTGGAAATTATTTTATTCTGTAAGTGAGCATTTAGATTTGAAAATTTCAATGTGTATATTCGTGCTCGTCCTCTTATCTTAACCGTACATTTACATATATTAAGTACGGTTCATGTTTAGTATTTCTATTCCTTTACATTTTCTGAAATACATCTTTATCAATCAGGGCATACACATTACTACAAGCATACAAAATTGTAGCCATATTAAGCCATTATAAAATTGTTACGAAGAAAAAAAGATTCAAAATCAGACAAAACCAGTTCGGTGCATTGAAATTATTTTAAAGTGTTTGCTGTTTTGTAGTCTTCGTATAAGTCAGTACGTTTTTTTTATTGAGCAACGAACAATAAAAAATTAGTGATTTTTCATTACCGCAATTAATATCCTTACTATGTTTTTCAACGACTTGCTATATATTATGACGTCTATACGAAGATAAAAGGTGTGTTCGCTGATTATTTTGAAAATTCTATTTCTATTCGCTGAAAATTAAGAGTAACCACTTTTCTACGCATTGAAACTTGTAAAATAACCCAACGCTTAAAGGTTATCGAAAACGACCACAAAAGACTGATTATCTACACACTTCCCTTGTGTTTACTCTGTGCCTAATGTATCAATTTTCATAATATTAGATAAGGTCAGCGTTACGGGGTAATCTCGATACGCGACGGGCATTTCCAACGCAATACGCGGGTAATATGCTAATTATACGATATCTGAAATATCTGAAGAAGCCAAAAGCCCCCCCGAGGGTCCGGAACGCAATTACATGGAACAGACTAAATTGCCAATGTCATTTTCTAATCGCGTAAGTGAGGCGCTCGTAATCTTAATTGGAATTTTCCCGAGATTCCTTTTAAACGCGCGCAAATTTCTAGGTTCGTCAAAGATACCACAACAAAAGCATATAAATGGGGTGATTCATAAAAAATGACCAAGCTCTAAGTTGGAACTCCTGGACAACAAAGTATTATGACTGAGCACATCGAACGTATAACAATGACGCTGCGCACACGATAAGGGAATTATAATTCCCTCCTTAAAAAAAAAACACTTATTAACTTATAAAACAACTTCAAAACTATCGAACAACCATTGCCATTGCAAATATTATTAGAAATAGTGTGCATAAGCGTTCTGATAATAGTAATACTAACAGTAACAAAATATAGTAATAAAAAGAGTCAAATTAAATATTGGAACTGGTGGACAGTTTATACCTCCGAAACGACCGACAATCATGTATAGAGATTGATCTTTCTTGATTAATCACCCTGTATATATCGATACTTATGCCATAAGTTATGAACCGATCCAGAGAGGGCGAGATGGCCGCTGCTACAACGCTTGCAATACAAATAGGAGACAATGCAATGAAATAATTAAACTACACAAAATTGTACTCTTGCATATTTCCCTTTCAAACAATCCAATGCTTAGAAGATACGACGGTTTAAATAATTAGAAGCATTCAGGAGCATGAACAACTCTTTTCGGTACTAAAAATGATATTAAGATTGTACCTTAATACGAGAATTTTCTGAATCTGAAACTTAAAAATAAGTACCAGATTTTCCTTGTGCCTGTTTTAGTCATTTTCTCCCCTGCTCTAGTTCTAAGTTCAGTTGTTTTCGAAATATGGAACAGCCTGAATAAGTTTTATTTATATATTTTTGCATTATAATATTATGTATTAGTTAATTATTTTAAACCTTTACCTAACAGAAACCAAAATCAAGATTTCATAATGTAAATGACAAATACTAAAGTTTCCAATCAGAATTAAAATTATCATCAACGTTATAAAAACGTTATATATCGGTTCCAAGTTGTATATTCCTAATTTTATTCTATCAAAAAAAAACGAAACGTTATTTCAAAAGAAAAACAAACGCTTTGGCATTCGATACGGTGAACCATAACCTATTGATTTCCAAGCTGAATTTCTATGGTTTTTCCTCTAATTCACGCACGCTGATTAAATCGTATTTTTCACATCGATATCAGAAAATATACTGTGATAGCAGATATTCGAAAGAAATTGAAATTTTCTCTAGGGTGACCCAAGGTTCCATTTTAGGGCCGTTATTTTTTTTTTTTATTTACACTTCTGACATATTAGAATCTTTAAATTTTTGCAAAGTTCAGGCATATACCGAAGATATTCAATTGTATTGCTGTTTTGATTTTAATAGTAGCGATGCAGAGGTATTTATGAATCAAGATCTTTACAGGATTAGTGAAATTTTTTGTGACCATAATTTAAAGCCAAACCCATCAAAATCGCATCGAAATAAAAATAAAGTTAAGCTCCTTAAACAAAATATTAATATAATGTTAGATAACATTAAAAAAATTAGGGGTGATCATAAATTGTGATCTAAGATTTCGTGAATATTTAAAAAATATCTTTCATAAGGCAAATTTCTCACTAAAAATCTTATATAGTAATAAACATATTTAAATTTTGGACTAAGCAAACAATTATGTGAGTCAACTACTGTGATGTAGTGTTTGGTTTTTTTATTGATAACGAGTGTAAGTGCCGTATTCAAAGGTTGCAGAATGCTTGTGTTCGTTTTATTATTGGTCTTCTAAAATATGACCATGTATCTGCTGCATATCGTCACCTTAATTGGCTTAAAATGGAACAAAGAAGAGCTCTTCCTTTCAACATATTCGTTATGAAAATTATCCATAAACTCGATGCCACATCATCAGAGTGCC